CCCTTTACTTTATGGTTAGGAATAATAGGATTAGAGCTGTTTTGTATATAATTTGAGGGTGTTTAACCATAAATTGTGGGTTTCCCCCCTTGATTTATAAGATGCATGAATGTTAGTTCATGAAGTCAAAGGTTTGCATAATTTAATAGACGGGTCTGAATGAAAACGGTATTAGGGAGTTAGAATTTGCCTACAACTGGATAGGTTACAGATAGATTTGGTGAAATCTGTGCAACCTATATTTGTTAGTGTGTAATTTTGGGTTTATTATCATTTTTTTTCCACATGCTTTCTTGTCTGTAGTGCAGTTTATTTCTTCAAAATTTTGTGGTGTTGTATTTCTTGCTTTAAGTACTGATATCGCCAAACTTGTACTTACCCCTTTCCTCTTGCATTGTAGGTTGTGAGCTGCACAGAGACCCTTAACGAAACTGCTGTTGAGTCTTCTGCTGCCAAGCCTTTTCCATGCATCCGTTCTGGTAGCTATGCTGATATTGGAACAAGGCTGTCCATGGATGATGAACACATTAGGATTGATGATCTATCTGCCCATCTGGGTTATTTCAAGTGTCCAAGTTCTTTTTATGCTGTTTTTGATGGTCATGGAGGGCCTGATGCAGCTGCTTATGTCAAGAGGAATGCAATGAGATTGTTTTTTGAAGATGTTGACTTGCCGCAAATATCAGATATTGATGATATCTTCCTAAAAGAACTGATTAATTCCCATAGAAAAGCATTTTTGCTGGCTGACCGTGCATTGGCTGATGAAAGCATTGTTGACAGTTCATGCGGAACAACAGCATTGACTGCCCTAGTTCTTGGAAGGCATTTAGTGGTTGCAAATGCTGGTGACTGCCGAGCAGTTCTATGTAGGAAAGGGGTAGCTATTGATGCGTCTCAAGATCACAAGCCTTCTTATTTTCCAGAACGCAGGCGGGTTGAGGAGTTGGGTGGTTATATCGAAGATGAATATGTTAATGGTTATCTTTCTGTTACAAGAGCCCTTGGAGACTGGGATTTTAAGCTTCCACTTGGCCCCACATCACCTCTCATTGCTGAGCCGGATGTTCAACTGTTTATGTTAACAGAGGATGATGAATTTATGATCATTGGTTGTGATGGTATCTGGGATGTTATGTCAAGCCAGGATGCTGTAAGCCTTGTACGTCGCGGGCTCAGGCGGCATAATGACCCAGAACTCGGTGCTAGAGAACTAGTCATGGAAGCATCACGCCTCCATTCAGCTGATAATCTCACGGCTGTTGTTGTCTGCTTCTCATCACCTAATCCTGTTGAGTCATGCCCACCTCAGAGACGAAGGTTGAGGTGCTTCTGCCTCTCTGAGGAGGCTCGGAACAAGCTGAAGAGCTTGTTTGAAGGCAATTGATTGTGCATTCAAATTATTTCACATTATTTACTGATATTTGATATGGTAAAGAGTTTTTTTTCTGTTTGTGGCTGTTTCACATGGTTTAGAAAAAAACAGCCAGCAGTTTTGTAGGGTAGAGGAGAATGCGGCATTAGGGTAATACATCAAGTGAGATGCGATTCTCTGTTGTAATGCAGCCAGTAGTTTTTATCTGTTTCTTGCTTTGTTTTCTCTTTTACACAGCGTCCCTGTTTTGCGACCTGTTCGCGGGGATTATGAAAACGAGAATTCAACTCGTGTGATGTTCCTCTTGATTGTAATCCTGGTTACAATTCTAATTCTTGAGAATGGGAAGCAATACTCTAGAGAAGAGTTCTATTTTAGAATTCTAGGAACCGTGAAGGATTTCTTTCCACGCTAATCAGGAGGGTGGCCTTGGCTTGATACCAACCACCACCAGTCATAAGAAAAGGGTAATGCAAGTGCACTGAGGGGCTTGGTCTAGCGGTAAAAGGAATTTGTCTTTTTTTACTGTACATAGGTTCGAGTCCTGGTGTGCACGTCTGTTATTCCTGCGGTGCCTTACCTGTTTGTTGGGTTTGCAGCACCGAGGGGCTTGGCCTAGCGGTAGAAAGGGTTTGTCTCCTTCCAGTGTACATGGGTTCGAGCCCTGGTGTGCATGCCTGTCACCCCTGCGGTGCCTTACCTATTTGTTGGGTTTGCAGGGTATTCAGTGAATTGTGAGGATTAGTCGTGGTGCGTATAAGTTGGCCCGGACACTCCATATAAATAAATAAAAAAAAAAGATAATGCGAGGATTTATGAGGCCACTGTTTTCCAGAGTTTCAATAAACAAAATCCAAATGCATAAAAATTCAAATGGACATAGGAATGGTGGAGGCCCTATTCCATGCCCCACGTATCATTTATCTTACGCTGCTTGTCATACGCCATTCCGATAATTTGTGAATCTAAAACCT